TGAATCTCAGGTGAAGAATACTGGCTACGAGGTGACTCACCAAGGTCGCTGTATAACTGTGTTCTCTGCGCCCAACTACTGTGACACTATGCACAATCTGGGCGCCTTCATCACCTTATACGGCAGTCACGAGCAAGGCGGTATGAATCCCAAATTCACCAGTTTTAAAGAGGTACCACATCCAAATGTTCGTCCAATGGCTTACGCCAACCCATTGCTTTCTCTACTTGCTTAGCTTAGTATCTGCGCCCTCTTATTTTGCTTCTTTGTTCACTCGTTCATTCATCCTTCCCTACATACTTCGGGCTTTTTCACCCAACTGGTTTTGCTTCTTATTTTTCCTTTTCTATAGTACGTGAACATTTTCATTACTACGGAAATTGTACAATATTGTTATATTTAGTTGGGCTCAGTTTTACTACTTGCTCGCCTCGATACATTGTACGATATACTCATGAGGTTGACTTCCTATCACTGCCATTTGAATTTCTTTTGTACAATACACTCCCCATACCAACTTATGTATATATATACATATATGCGTATATAAGCCTGCTACCTAAACGGATTTGCCTTATATTTGTACACTTAGAGGTCTATCGTTGTGCTCATTCAGATTAGGTTGAAGCATTTTCGTCATGACTGATCTGTTTTAACTTTAATTGTAGTCTAGATAGGGAGGCGTTCTGTTTTCATGCAGTCTCTCACATATATTCTAAACCGTGTTAATCTAGCTTTTTAAAAGGCTACATTTTATCTCTACTATATGCACATTACTAATAAACTTTTCTCATTCCCATCTCCTTACGCGTCTGTAATCTTGAAAATCACCAAAATGCTCAAAATTGCAGTGCTTTGCTTCTATCGCAACTTTTAAAGTAATTTAGCAATTTACATTTATTTTTTTTATTCTGCAAGGTCAAGTTGAATTTATCCAATAAACATATTGATTCCTGAGCTACCTTTTTTATGTTATGTCCTGCTCAATTATCATTATTTATTGAAAGATGAAATTTAGTAGCCAAATTTCAGTTATCAAAGATATTCTCTTCTTAATCGACTAATGAATATCTACACTCCAGACCGTACCTTGGTAGTATCAGATTATACTACGAATCAACAGCTAATTAATCAATTTCACGCATCTACACTCATGTAAACAGAAGAAGGAAATAGCCAATCAATTCCTGAGATGCTTCATTGGGATATCATTAGGATACCGGAATGGGTTTTTAAGGTTGTGGAACAGTGTTTTAATATTAGAGTAGGGTTTCGAGACTACCAGTAAATCAGTGTAATGAGATGTATTCACCCTATTTCG